TTATCTTTTATTGGTTAGTCTAAAACATGAAGAGCATGTTAAAAAGGTCAGATCATAACCTCAACAACCAAGCCATCACCCTTTAACTATTACATGTGAATTAAATATTGTACATGACCAATTAAATCATAATGTCAGAAATAATTCTTTATGGATTATTTCAGAATGTATATATATTTTTAACAAAATAACCTTTTATTCTGAATTTGTCAACTGTGGATAGTTGCTCAATGCTTTGTGTTCAACATAATGGCTCGAGTTCAAAAATAAGTTGTCTTCAATGTGCCTCATCACTGCACTTGCCCTCTGAGGGTTTTGTCTTTCTTTTTCTTTGAACAGCAGACCACCTCCCCCATCAAAACTGTACTTGATATTCTCTTAGTGTCTAAAAGGCATGAAGGGCAACTATTTAAAGAAACAAGCCAAAAGCAACCTCAGACATACAGAACTAGTTGTTCAGTATTTCACATGCTCGTCTAAACATGCCACCAAAATATAGCAGTTTGTTTTGGCAAGAGTCCCCAAAGAAGCATAAGTCAAGACAGTACTATAAAATAATATGATTATTTCAAGTTGACCCTAAATCTGAGCCACAATGTACAAAAAAGGCCATCAGTTTGGTTTCTGGTTATCTGTGGAATGTCACCAGTCTCTTCTATTGCTGAAGCTCTAGAGGGGGTGATTTTTATGGGAACCATGTACAGCAGTTATCACATGAAATACTGCATTCTGGTTGGGTTGGACTATGTCACTTGCAAAAAATGCTTGTCAGTTTCAAAAGTATCACGTGGTATTAGGTCCATATAACAGTGAAAATAAACTCTAGTTCCCATGAGTAAACAGCGCAATTATTTTTTACATGCATTCGCAGTGATGCCCTTGTCCTTTATATCAGAGCATCTTAAAGTTTTCCCACTTGTGAATCCTTTCTGCATGAGATTTTTTTAAATGAGCCAATTACAGGCAGTCCCCAAATTACAAACAAATAGCTTCTGTAGGTTTGTTCTTAAGCTGAATTTGTATGTATGTCGGGACAGGTACTTTTTTAAGTGCAACTCCTGCCAAAAATAAAATAATTTAGCTTTGGATAGCATAAGCATGGGTTAACACCCCTGTGGCGTTTGTTTTGCTATCTGTGCCCCATTCAGAAGATTTCACGATGATAAATCAGCATTTACAAGGCTTGCTAAACAGCCTGATTTTTCTTTTTGTGGAAAGCCAATGAAGCATTTTTGCAGAGTCCACTGCAAACACTGCACGTTGCTGCTAACAGATTTGTGTGAATGGGTGATGTTCAAAAACCTTTTCCTGTTTCTGAATTTTTCTTAACTTCAACATTCAACTAAAGGGACTCCATTTGCAGCCAAGACCCATAGTTTAAAAAGAAGCAGATAACAAGAACCAGCTATGCTGGATTCAACCAAAGGTCTGTCTAGCAAAGCATTCTACTCATATATGGTCATATATTAGAAACCCAAAGGAAAACAGGAAGGGAGAACAGCACTCTTCATTCATTTCATTCAGCACTTAATTTGTAAGAGCATGCAGAGTTTATCAACATAACAGAAACTGTTGTTTATAAGGATGCTAAAACTTTTTCTGATTGAGAAATTCCACAGAATTCTTTAAAATCTTTACAATGGAAAGGTAACAGCCAAAAAATGTAAATAGGTCCCAAAATGTATTGGCATACTCATGGATAATAATAATAATAATAATAATAATAATAATAATTATTATTATTATTATTATTATTATTATTTATTTGTAGCCTGCCCTATCTCCCCGAGGGGTCTCAGGGCTGCTTCACACATAATAAAGGCAAACATTCAATGTCTGTATAAAACAGAAGTAAAAAAAAATCTAAACAACAAACGATAAAATATATTACACAAGTTAAAACAAGTAATTTAAATAATAACAATTAAATAATCAACATTTAAACCATTAAAAGCCAGGTAAGATAGTATATCAAATCTATTTCCTATTCTGTTCTGTTTAACAACGTTATAAGCTCTATTCCTCCTTCTCATCATATGCTTGAGAGCATAGAAATATTTTAAGTTGCTTTTGAAAAGCAAGTAAGGAGGGGGTCCTTTTAATGCCCTTGGAAAGGGCATTCCAAAGACAGGGGCGACCATTGAGAAAGCCCTTTCTCTCATTCCCACCAGCCGTACATGAGGACCAAGAGTAGAGCCTCCTTGGCTGATCGAAGAGCTCGTACAGATTTGTACAAGGAGATGCAGTTTTCTAGATTGTTTGGGCCTGAACCGTTTAGGGCTTTATGGGTAATAACCAGCACTTTGTATTTAGCCCAGAAGCAGATTGGCAGCCAGTGGAGCTGCCATAACATTGGAGTTGTCTGCTCCCTGTACGGCGCTCCAGTTAGTAGTCTGGCTGCCGATCGCTGGACCAGTTGAAGCTTCCAAACTATCTTTGAAGGCAGCTAAAGTGTCTAAAGTGAAATAAAATGAAAGAATAACTTTATAAATGTCCTGTTCGCACCACCTTCATGGAATTTGTTGTTTCTGGATATTGGCACAAACTGGATTTTGAGAATCAGAGTGCACATTTGCTTTGGTTTGAAAATATTTATATATCCTTAAAGCTGTTGAAAAATTAGTTGGTGTTCTATATTAATATCATATAGAAATCTGGGTGGGGTAAGAGACCACTGAATTAAAGTATAGGTTCAGATTGGGATTTCTATTCAGTATTTACCTAGACAGCGGCAAACACGGTGTCCAAACACTACAGAATCAACTTTTCCTTATAACAGGCAGGCAATGGGTGATCCAGAAGTTTGTGAACTGCAACTCTAATTTTTCCTCATATTTCTCACCCCTTATCCATAACATAATTTACTTAGGTACTTTCACAACTGGCAACATATCTTTTAAACCAGTATTGGTCTTTCTTGGTTTATATGCAAACAAAAATATTCCACTTACTTTTGTCTGATCATCAGCTTTGAAAACGTAACAAATACTTCGCTGGTTTATTGTTCCATCCTTTATTAAACAAGCAAAGTAACTTGGATCATGACTATTGTGAATCAGTTTGTGGACATGTTGAGGTCTACACTCGAAGATGCTGGAACAAATCAGAGGATCCCACTGCTGGCTTTTTCCCGTGTCTGCTTCACATCGCAGCCTGGTTGGTGAGACATAAAGCCGGATTTGGCTGATGCTTTCCTCTTCTTTCAAAGAATGTGCACTGATCCGCCGAATTTCTGCCACAATCCAAGGAAGCACTGGCATGGTTGTTAGTGAATGTACTGGCAGAGAGCCTACGAGCTGAAGACTGAAGTCAACAGAGCCATCACTGGCTGCTTCAGGATTTTTAACTTTGAAAGATATGGGTTCCATATTTGAGTCATCAAGGACGTGTAAGTCAACCAGTTTAGTTATGGATACTTTGAATTCTGAAACAGAACATATAGTCGCACAGTTAACACAATCAGTTAGTCCCCCTCTTTTCTTGAAGAATCATGTTAGCAACTGTAGAAATCCAAACTGACACCAATCCTCATTTTATAAATGTCTGAATTAAAAATGCATTTCTAACTTTCTATGAGTACTATACAAATAAAAGCATCAGTATTTTAGTACTTCCATGTCTCACATTAGAATTATTTAAGCATGTAGCAAAAGAACATATCACACTCTAAGTAGACCAAAGATATGAAGACTGAATTGGGACTGGTGTTGTCAAGTTACCCATTACAATATCCATGAATACCAAGAAAACAAAGACAATGAAAATATAATGAAGAGAAAATAAGCACAGTTGGCCCTCCACATTTGGTGTCTATCATTTTACAGATTTGATTCATATATTCTCTCTAGGAATCTTTAGGTCCTTCAGTGCAATTCTGTGGTCAACTTCTGTTGGATAGTACCCACAGAGTTGTACTGGAGGGCCTAGAGTAAAAGCATAACATATTTATTATTCTCCCACTTTCATGTGGGTCCTGTGCCCCTAACCTCTGCGAAAATGGAAGGCTTATTATAAATGTTTACAACTATGCAAATATTCACTTAAAGTATTTTTTTATTTCCATTAGTAGATCTTTTTTTAAAAGGCTCAAGTGCTTAATCATCTGAATTGTTAAATTAACTGATAACTGACTTGAAAGTTTTCTTCAATTAAATTAGGTAAGAACTGTTGGAAATGTCAACCTTTTTCAAGCCTCCTCTAGTAACTTGTTTATCTATAATCCTGTTCCTTACTTATTTATTTATTTATTGTATTTATGTTCTGATATACAGCTTTCTTTCCTTGCTCTATGTTTTTTCTGATAAGTTATGGGAGGGGCTGCAGACCACATAATCCACTTTGAGACGAGCACACAGCACAGACTCCATTAGACTTTGGGACTGCTCAGATCGCAGACTTGCAAACACTTGCCTACTGTTTGCTGTAAGAGAAATGTTCTAACCGGATGGCACAGAAACTAACACAAACATATCTGTAACTGGATTGATAAATTGCGTACCTGTGTATGCTGAACACATAAAAGTTGTGAGTAAACAACCAAATTTTTTTTAACCAAAGTCTACTTCATTTTATCTCTTGAATGCACAATATAAAACAAGTTGTTTTATGGGAGCGTAGATATATTTTTGGGAACTGAAAAACACTTCTGAAGCACTGCAATTTTGTGCACTGGCATATTCGCTGTTTCCTATCAGTTCAGAGACAACAGGTTATTCAGTCTAAGAACTGAAAGCCATTGTCCGGCATAACTATATCTGGTTGTATTCTACTCAAATGGGTTTTTGGTTCTTCTCAAAAAGGTCATACTTTTCCAAAAGGTTATGATCTCCAAATGGTTATAAATGCCATTTTCTAAAAAGAACTTTTGTTTTTAATTATTTTAAATATACTTATTAAAATATTAAAATACATATTCTCTCCTCATTCACATAGGAAGAATTTCACTTTTAAGATGTGACACCTTTCTAACAACATTTCTTTATTCAGGAATAATACGTTCGCCCAAATACCAATTTAATGAAAGATGAAACTGACTGAAACTTATGTGATGCTATCTTTAAAACTGATCTGGAAAAAAACCAAGCTTAAGAAAACAGAAAAATATTAGCAAACCAACATTTCCATTACACACCTACTGGTTGCCATTCCAGTGTTTCAAAATCCTTTTGATTCATTACATGTATCAATCATTAATAGAAATGATTCACGCTTAGTGGGAAAAGCCCAATTCATAAATTCAGATGATCTTCAGCCTACTATAAATTACATTCAATTGTTACAGTACAACTATCGTTCTATTATAGTGGTTCAATATGAATTCAGGACTGTCAGTAGATGACAGAAACCTGGGCCTAAATTCAATTGCTGGTTCCAATGAAAACAGATCTATTGAATTAATGGGAACTTTGTCAGTCAACACTTATCTAAGGTTCAGTGGATCTAGCTAGTAGATTAAGGACTTGAATTACATCATCACATCAATCAAATGTGGTAACTCTTGTGATGTAATTCTCATGATGTTGGTGTTGCTGAATTCTCAGCATTCTTCACAACAACCATATCAGAAGGTCACACTGTGTCCACCATTTATATCCAATATACCGATCACTTTCATACTTTATTATGACTTCACTTTGCTAGATGTTTTGATAGAGTAGAGATGGTAATTTCACTAGAAGAGACACTACCCAATAGGTATCAGGAAAAATTGATCTACTGTTATTTTTATTTCCTCACTTTGGGGAAGTCTGGAAAATATTTTTCTCCGAGATTATAGGAACTGAACACAGTTTTGCTCCAGCTGAGATGTGCTGGGTGCTATTTTCCCACAACAACTTCTCTCTTCTCCCCTAAAGTTGTGCAGAAACCATCAAACCTTACAGTTGTCAAAACAGCTGGGTGCTGAGAGTGAGGAGAGGGAAATCAATGGAAAGCTGACAGCTGTCATTTGAAAGCTGCAGCCTCCAGCTAGGATTTCTGTGAAGGATTGGTGAAAGATACAAAGAAAAGTTGCAATGGGGAAAAGTTGTGGGTGTTTGAAATATGATCTAGTTAATATTTTTCCTAAAACCTCCCTCCCCAATCCTTAGCAACTTTTGCCCAAGGGTAAAATGTTGCACTCTAGCACTGAAATGCCTTTTTGCCCAGCACCACACCAGAATTCAGTAATTCTATCAAAAATGTTTATTAAAGAAAGCAGATTAAAAGGGAAAGGGGGCAATTCCAAAAGGGTCAGTAGAATAGAAAATACAAAATAGCAGTAACCAAAAATGACAAAGAGCATCAAGTCAAGAGAACCAAAATCCACAGCAGTACTTCAGACTTAAAATCATAAACATGAAAGCAGGAACTATTCCAAAGGTAAACCCTCCAAGGAAACAAAGGCATGAAACAGAACAGGAAACTTGAGAATATTTGAATCATGAACTTGAGAGCAGAGACAGGAGAGCCATCTCCTATGGCAATGTTACCTCCTCTGAGTGGCTTGAAGCCAAAGCATTTACCATAATTTAAGATCGCCCAGGCACCCATGAGATCATGTCTAAGACACCTGGACTTCAAGGTCTTATCTCACACTCTTTGAGAAGATCTAGTTTGTCTATTTTCACTCCTTGCATTCTCAGGCCTAATCTAGTTTCCTGGGAAAACTCACCATGTATCCAAGGTCTTTTTTTCAGGGGAATTTTCACTTTCTCCAATTGTTTGGGAACGGGCACAGGAATAAGAAATATCACTCTCATCTGCCTGCAATTCTCTTACTCACAGACTCCTCACTTTGAAACCTACTTTTAAACGCATTGTCTGATACATGTTGAGCTACAACAGAAAAGTCTTAGCAAAGTTCTAGGAAATTGGGGTGGGGTGGGGTGGGGGGGGAGGCATTCTTTCTTGTACCACTGTAATGATCACTTTGTGAATTGGCTGTGTTGCTATAGAGTTAGCCTTCTCTCAAAGGAACACTCCAACACACACAGGAGCTGAGAATATCAAACATCTTTATTGTTCAGAATACATGGGTCATGTTGGACTGTCTGACTTCTATTTCAAATCCCACTTCACCCAACTGAGCCTTTAGTCATTTCTACTGAAGCTTTCATTTCTACCCATATAACAACATCAGTTTTCTTTCAGTTGCAAAAACAAGAATGTTCATAACCCATTTGCAAATTAGCAAACCTGTGAGATCCAGATGTGTTTTAGAGAAAATATGTGTTCTGAAAGCAGGCTACATTGAGTTATTTTTTTAAAATTCTTGATATCAACATTAGATAACAATATATTTCCGGGTGCTTTTAACATGTTAATGTAAAAAGAGTAATAAATCATGTGATGTGAGCTATTGCACAAAAATTGATCTCATGTATCCTATTTTGGTTGAGTTTTAAGAGTTTGCTTGTGCACTGCATGTTATTTAAGGGGGAAAGGGTTAACACTTCCAAGCTATTATGTTCGGGCTTCACTGCTGTACAGATGGTGGGATTTGTGACTGCTGTTAAGCTCAGAGATTGAAGAAAACATTACCGTCCAAAATGAAAAAAGGCAGTCTGCAATCCCTCAGAGTTCATAAGGCTGTGACTGCTGACAGTTGCTCCCAAAGGTATTACGATCCTAATGAACCGTTGCATTAATTTAATTTTCTCAAAGGATCCACACTTCAATTAAGTTATAAATGTGCACCATGGCACCAAGCTAGGACAAAATGCATCGTCTTACGTCTCTTAGATCTGTCAGTTGCTTTGCCTTAAAAGCAAAACACTAGTCTCCAGGGAGACCAAAGGGCTAGTTCAGTGTCATTTTTCTTGTAGACCTATTGCTCATGCAACACATACTGAGCATATCTATCTATCTATCTATCTATCTATCTATCTATCTATCTATCGCCTAAGTAAGTAAGTAAGTACCTGGGGACCAAGTGCTTTGTTTGACTCTGGCACTTAATGTGACTGAAATTGATACAACCATTTTATCTGCAGCTACTGCTGCATTTTAATTATTTTTTATTAACTGTAGTTATATACCGCCTCTCCCCCCCCCCCCGGGGGGACTCAAGGCAGTTTAAAACATACTAATGGCAAAAATTCAATGCCACATACAGTGCACAAAGAAATCATAGTAGCTAATTACTACATGTAATACAATTGTCTGGTTGCCCCTCACACGATAAATAAATAAATACTACATATAACAATGAACTTAAAATGAATTAAAACCATTAAACATAAGACATAAAATCGAAACATTCAAAACATAAAATCATCCTAGTATAAACATTAAATTCCCATGATCCAGAAATTGTATACCACAGCCATTCAGAATTATCACTGTACATGTTCCTTAATTATTCTTTATACTGCATTATTTATTAGCCAAAGGCTTGATCCCACAGCCACGTCTTTGTTCTCTTTCTAAAGTTCAGGAGGGAAG